TTTTTTTTTTTTTTTTTTTCCACTGAACGTTGTCAGAATTGGCAAGCAACGAGTAGGTGGAGAGACCCAGTCAAAGGGTGAATGCGGCTCTCTCAAATGGGTATCCTCTCTTCGAGATTAGGACGATTCTTCTTTTTAAGCACAGTGCTATGGGCGACCACTCGTGATGTATTCAAAACGGTTTGGACAAAATGGCCGCTGTTACCTCAAAATAGTTTTATTTTCCCGGGAATGTTAAAGACGTGTCATTTTGCAACAAAATTGAAGCGCCTTTATATTAACAGGTCATAATAATATGCCCATATTATAACTCAGCCCCTTTCGCAAAATGGTTAAAATTTCCACATTAATCTGCGCCGCAAAGTAGTTTGTGATGTCGTACGCGCTTCCACAAATAACCTTCAATATATAATAACTCTGATGATGTGGTATAGCAACGTGGTGGGAACGAAACTGCTGTTTACAGAACTGCTCTTCGCTGCACAAATGGACATAATATATATGCAGTTCTCCAAATTATGAAGTCCCTTCTGTCATATATTGCGACAGGAATTATACATAATATATACCTTCTATGTACGTTTCATTCCGCATGGCTCTACGACGCTTCCGTGTTAAAGACTACTTATTTTTGTGCGCAGCTCAACTCTTTTGTTGAAGCCGTTTTAATTATAGTACTACGCTGTTAATTAAAAATGGATACCTTAGCGTAAACGAAAAAAAGTAGAAAAAAAAATTGCTACTCAAACAGACCAATGGGATCCGAAATCGGGCGCTTTCTTCGCATTTGCAGATGGAAAACAAAAAAAAGAAAAAAAAAAATGTATGATAAATTTCGCTTTTTTTCTCCAAGAGGGGAATGCAACCTCTGCTTGGAAGCTGTTCAAATCGTCTGCCCATTTTTGTGGGTCAATTGCCAAGGAGCTCATAGTCGTCGCGATTGTTCTGATGCCTCTGTATGTGTTTTACAATTTTGGATCCGTCTGCCCATTTAATATGGTCTTCTAAATTTCTGTTAATATGAAAAGCTGGGTTGTTAATTACGTTATTTCCTACCCGTACATTTCCGTGCTGGATGTACGTAATAGCTAGCTGTATGGTTTGAACAAATTTTTGCCTGAACAAAATTACAGCTAGCCTCCTTCTACAAAAAGAAGAAACGGAGATTTTTTCACACTCAGCTAAACTGGATTTGCAATTTATTACCCCCATGTCGTATAACTTGTCTAGCAACTCACTTGTCATTTTTATTCTGAATTCATCATTGTCTGGTAATAATCTCAACTTGGAAACTAACTTTGTTATGTACCCACATATTTTATTGTACTTTGTGTAATCCTCTCTGTTTTGAATTACGTACTTCCTTAAGACTTTCACTTCGCGCACATTTCGGGTCCTCTTCCAGTCGTACAGGTTTACCTTCTTAAGGAGCTTTTGCTCGTGGTACTTCAGTTTACGCATTTTGTACTGAGCGTGTTGCGGGAAATAGCTGTTTTTTTTTTTTTTTTTTTTTTTTTTTTTTTTTTT